GGGTCCGGAAAAAAAAAAGAATAATAAATGACATTTAAATACAAGGAAATGAGTATGAAGGGAAGACTGGGCATTTTTAAAGGACAAATTGTCTGTAGTTGGGTATTGATGACAGTGTAGCCGAGCGGACTGGAGGAGAGCTGGCTGCCTCCGAGAGCCAGAGTGCTGATTATTAAAGAATGAGACTGAGGAATGCGGGGGAAAAGAGCCAAACCGATCCGCAGCAGAGGAATCGGAGCTGGCGGTGCACTGGGAAGTCTCGGCTGCCTTCGTCGCTACTGGGGACTTGCCCTGAGCCCCCCTTCCCCAGCACGGCCCTTCTCTGCCCCGCTTCGCTCCCAGGGACAGGCCTGGGGTCCCTGCCCTGTTCCTGTGGGCTGAGTGGGTGATGACAAGGTGCGGGCAGCCTTTACTGCGGCGGTCTGAACGTGACCTGCGATTTCACACTGCGCCTCTTCAACGGCAGCCTGGCTGGCCTTTAAAAAAATCCTTTGTTTTCTCCATCAGGATAGATACTTTACGATGAAATTCTATGTTCAGCCTCTTTTGCTTGCTTGTCACTGCCTGCTTTCCTTTCAGGCTTTCCTGGTGTGTGTTTAGCCGATTCTCTCTGAGAGATGCCTAGAGCCATCTGTGCTGACTGTTGCTACACGTATATGAATGTGTGTGGAGGAGAGGGCAGAGGTGCACGAGTTTTTCCGTATCTGTGTAGCTCCCTGCAGCCCACAGACTTGCATCGGAGTGCTATTTAAGCGTGCATATGCATGCAGATCTGTGCCTCCGGACAGGCACACATTGTGTAGTAGACTGGAACAGATAATTCCGCAGAATGCAAGAATAAACGGAGCAGCTCAGAAATCAGCGAGGAAGAAAAACAGAAAAAAACAGAGAGAAAGAAACGAAAGGAAAAAAACCCACAAAAAATCAGAAAGAAAAGGAAGCCTTGCTTCATTGTTAGTGTCTGAACACAAAGTGAGGTTTTGTCCCACCGATTAATCTCTCTAGGAGCAGCAAACTGACTATCCTAAGCTAGTGTTACAAGCTAAGTGTATCAGTTGCTCAAAGGAGGAAGCATATTCTCTTACTGCGGAAAATGATATCAAATTTGGTGGCAGACGTTGGTGTCCAGCAGGGTCAAATGGCCGAAGAAGTAGTCTGGACACATGTTGCTTTTTAGGATACAGCTGCCAGCAAGTGGGGATTAACGCCTGCCTCTGTTTGTTTAGAAAGGAAAAAAAAAAAAGAAAAAAAAAGAGAGAGAGAAAAAAAAAGACGAAGAAAAAAATTAGAAAAGTTTAACAGTTTCTTTTGTGAAGTCTGTACATTGCAAATCCAGCCGCGTTACTGTACTAAAGGAAATGAAAAAATGCTTCGGTTTCAGAGGACGAGTCCTTTATTTCCCTTATTGAATACGTTTCATGTGTTTTTCCCCAACACCCCGGCTTAAGGACATGCCTTTTGAAACACAAACACACGCACAGCTCGCACACGCACACGCAGATAAGATATGTATTAGATCCTGACACATGCGGGGTGGAGGGAAGAGCGGGAGAGAGAGAGACAGAGAGAGAGAGAGAGAGAGAGAGAGAGAGAGAGAAAGAGAAAGAGAGATCCTCCTACCTGGAGCCATAGATTGCAAGATACGTAGTGTTACCTGAGGAAGTCAGAACAAGTAAAAACAGATTGAACTTCAGGGCTCTATGAGGCAGTTGATCAAGATCAGTGCTTGCTCATTCTCTCCCTCAGACTGTCTGTCTTGGGGTTTTGTTTTACTCTTTTGAGCAGCCCTTTCCGTTTTTTCTTCCTCTTTAGCTTTAATATCGGAGCCGGTTTCGGTCACCATGGCTCTGGGAAGAGCTGCCTATCTGCGCGGAGTTGACTTTTTGCAGCTCGGCCGGCTTTGCTCCTGGGTAGCTTCAGCAATGCTCTTGACTGGGATTTAATCGACAAGATCAGTTCGGCTTTTTGTGCAATTTTTATGGCTCAGTCCATTTTCTAGATCATGCACAGAAACTTTCGGAAGTGGATTTTCTACGTGTTTCTATGCTTTGGAGTCATCTATGTCAAACTAGGGTAAGTCCTTCTGCACGACAAATCTTGCCTTTTGGGTCACGTTAAGTGCGGAGTTGGGAGCAAAAAACTGCAGAGGAGGTAAAAAAAAAAAAAAAAAAAAAAGAGAAAAAAAGGAAAAGATGTGAATATTATTTCTCTCCGCCTCCGGGTGTCCCAGCGCCGGCAGCCCCCCGAAGCACGGCTGTCCCGTCTCCCCCGGTCCCGGGCCGGGGCGCTCCGCCCGCCCCGAGCCTGCAGGGAGCCGCTCGCTGGTGATGACGGATCCTTTTATTTTGTACTGCTTAAGCGAACTTAAATATTATCTCTGGCTTACAGTACCCTCGGAGGAAAAAAAAAAAAAAGAAAAAGAAAAGGCAGCCTGACAGAGTTAACTCAGGCGCTGCTGCTGGGACAATAGAGCAGGGCTGAGGTATTAGGCGAAAGGGGCGGGAGGAGGGGAATCCCTGCTCTGAACCTGCGCTCAGGGATTTGGTTTATGCAGGCCTAGACACAATTTGCGTTTCTATCCATCACACGGACGTGTTGAAATTAAGTTGACAACTGGTCCGGCTGCCTCTGCTCTGGTGCTCCCGGGAAGCCGAGCGGGCTGGGGCGCAGGGACCGGCCCGGGGCCCTGCAGGGTGCGGCGGGGGCTCCGGGGAGCCCGCTGTTTGCTCCTCGCTGTTTGATCACCGCAATCGAGTGCACGCGGTTATTTTGGCTGCCAAGTTTCGCCCTCTTTCCCTCTGTCTCTCCCCCCATTGCCTGTATGCCCTTATTAATATTGCTCGTCGCAGTAGGCTGACTTGAGTTGAATTTCCACATTCCTGAGCCCCAGCCGAGTCCTTACCTGTCGAACTACAAACTCTTTAAAGATCCTGTCTTTGCGGGATTTTTTATGCTTTTTTTTTTAATGATCAAGAATACCTAAGGTGAGTTGCACTCCAAAAACGCTCACTCCCCACCTTGAAATCAATACAGGGAAGCCAAAGGGCAGCTCCCAAAGACAGGAGAACGGGAAGGGAATTCTCTGGGAGAATTCCCCAGAGAAAGGGCAGGCTGGAGCTCGGCCGGGGCAGCGGAGCGGGAGGGCAGCGAGGAGCAGCCCGGCCCGGCCCGGCCCTGCCCGCCGGGAGCCGCAGCCGCGGGCGCTGCTCCGCGCACGATGCGCGGCGGGAGCGGCCACGTCCCCGCTGTCAGCAGCGCCGGGAGGAGGGGGAGACCAGAGGGAGGGAATCTGCGGGAGGGAGCGCGCCAGAGCCCAGGATTAAGGTTAAACAGCGGGGGGAAGGAATTAAACTGGGCTCCTCGGCGGTGAGAAAGGAGCGGCAGGGTCTGTGCAGCCCACCAGGAGCTCTCAGCAAGGGCAGAGCTTTCCCGTTTTCAGGGTGCCGGCGAGACCCTGGAAAGAAGCCGGCTGCTTCCCGGAGGGTTCCCAGCGGGTTTCTCGGGAATCGCATCCCTTTGTGTTTGCTCATTTAGGTGTTTTTGGCACGGCTCTCGGCCCGCCCCTGCAGCCGCAGGTGCCGCCGCGGTGGCCGGCGGAGCGGGGCGCTGCCCCGCGGGGGATGCGCGGGTGCGGAAGGGGCACGGCCTGCGCTCTGCCCCTGCCCTGTGCCCGTGGGGAGCCCTCGTTCCCCCCTGGCCCGGCTGAGCCCGGGGATAGCCCCAAATCCTGCCTGCTGCAGACAGCTCCTTTCAGTGCTCTGACCTTTGCGGGGCCGAGAACCTGCGCCGCCCTTTGTCGCAGCGATGTCGGCTCTGTCCCCCTCTAGGCTCGGATTGCCGGGAGTGGAGATGTGTGATGAATTTGTTGAGGCTGTGTATCCATAAATGAAGCGATGACAGGGTACCCAATCTACTTCAATAGCGTGAGGACTTTGTAGAGCACACCCCGCACACAGAGGCAGGCGAGCTCAAGGAAAACGCTTTGCAAAATGAGGGCAGTGGCGCAGCTATTGCTTTGCCTGCGGCCGAAAGGAACTGGGGATTGGGCAGTCTGGAAGGCAGATCTCTCTTTGAAATTGGTTTTGGCTGTTTTAGAAGGAGATTCAGAGCAAAAATCACAAGAATGCTGTCGCACTGAGCCTGGAAGTGAAACTGAGCGGACATCAGGAACAGTAAAAGCCTTTGCGGAAACCCTATCAGATCCATCACCATGCCTGTAAGGCGATGAGGATACTTCACTTTCTCTGAACAATAGCAGAGAAATTTGCTCTGAGATCCAGGGCTACTTCTAGGCTAGGCATGTGGGATGCAATTATTTCCTCTTTCATCAGCCACTGGAACTACCATTTTGTTGAAACCATATCCTTTGGGTGTAATGATGCCTTTTCTGGTGAGCTCTTTGCTTTGAGAAGGGGGAGGTGAAGGTGGATAAAATGTCTTCCAGGGCATTCGGTTGATTTTCAGTGGGAAGGAGAGAGCCGTCGTGTCAACCACGGCAAGAACGGGAGTCTTGGCAGTTTGGGATTTTTTTTTTTTTTTTCCTGCTGAGCACGTCTTCTTGTCTTAATAAAACGTACTAAAAGCTCCACTTTCGGTGGCAAACATGACACAGAGGGGAGAGAAAGTAACGCAATACATAAGCTGTTGGACGGGCCGGGGTGTTACATGGCAGGATCCCATAAGGAAGCCACTATCTCCTCCAGTTAGGAGGAGAGAGCAGGTCCCACTCAAACAGTCCTTCCTCTAGGGGATCTTCCGTCGTTCCCGTTTCTATTTCCGGTCCCCCAGATTGCTGGAAAACCAGGGATGAGGTGAAACATCCCTTAAATTTCTGTCGATGACGTTTCCAGGCACTGAACCATTAAGTATCTGCAGCCTTGCTGACTTCATGTAACCCCCCGCGATAGCAGGTCACATCAAACATTGACCTCAGACGGGATTGAAACAGAAATATTTCCTGCCAGGATCACAGAGCATTCGGATACTGCTTAATTCGGATACCGTTTTAATTATTAAACACGTCAGAAATTAAAAATTACAGCAGTAAAAATTTACAGTGCTACAGATGCAACTAACAGCGGAAGCTCTGGGTATGAGTGATGCGTCTTTTGGAAAGATGAAGTGGCGGGCAATACCCACATCAGAGATATGGGGGCAATCCCCACCCTTTTCCCCTTTATTCTGGAGGAAAAGAAAGGTGACAGCCGGGCAGCTCCAAAGGGAGCGGGGAAGATCCCAGTTTTCCCGCGGAGAGGGGGTCACTATGACATTAGAGGGATACTGGCGGCGGGAGCTGGCTCTGCCCAAGAGAGCAGCGAAAGGTGTCGGCACCCCTTTGAGGGGAGGTAGGGACGCTTCTTTCGTGCCCATCCGAGCCGAGGGCGCACAGGCATGCCGACATCGGGGACCCCGGCCCGTTCTGGGAAGGGGTTCTGGGAAGGCCGGGGCGCTCCGCTTCCCGGGACTCCCAGGGATGCTGCGGCGGGGAGCGTGAGAGCCGCTCCCGCTAGCCTTCCCCACGGGGAAATTCGCCTTGCCTTTGCGACGATTGCGGTAAAGGCCAACGAAATCCTGCTGCCCTCGCCATCCGCGGGGCTGTCCGGCCGCGGGGAGCCCGCCTGGGCCGGCCCTGTCCCCCCGGCCCTGGGCAGGCATTGACCGGAGCTCAGCCTCGACGGCGGCAGCACGTGGAGCGCCGGGAGCGGCGGCGAGGCCCCGGCAGGAGACCCCGGGATTCCCGCCCGGAGCGCCGCTGCCTGGAGCCGTCCCGCAGGAGGGAACATCGCTCCGCGGCCCCTCCACGGGCAGGTGTCGTTGTGCTGCCGCCACCCCATTCCCTGCTGTCCCATCGCCCCGACGCCGCTCATTCTGGGACTTGTTGTTGCCTTCTTTTCCCCGGCACTGTGCTTGCAGCTTGATGAGATACAACAAACGCCCGGTTCCGCCCAGAAAGTTGTTCACCTGGCGCATCTTCCCGGCTTCCGACGTGCCCTTCTGCCGGGCGCTCCCCAGGCTTGGGGTAAAAAAAGGATCCGCGGCTGGGAATAGATAGATAATAGGAGATTAAAAAAAAAAAAAACACCAACAAAGCAAATTGTTTATTAGTGCCCGCCCGACTATAGCGTCGGCAACTATTTCAGTGTAATTCTGCCCCATTTTGTCACAAAACTTTTCCCACACAGCTGTTTGTGGGAAAAGGAGTGACAGATGCTGAAGTGCCCGTCTAAGACGTTGCCGACAATACCTCCTTTCCAGCGTGACGTTTTATTGAAGGGAATGTTTCCGTCTTCAATCAACAAAATGAGGGTGGTTCTCGCTGATATATGTATAGAAACCATTTGGACGGAATTTGCAACGTTATTCTCATCATCATCGTCATAATCTTCATCCTCCTCCTCATCATCATTCATCATCAATAATTTTTCGCCATAATAACCGGCCCATGGTTTTAGAATAAAAATTAACTCCCCGGAAAGAAAACTTCACGGTTTGATTTCTTTATACGACTTTTCTTCCTCTACACAGCGCATCTGTGGATAAAGTCAGTTTCGATCTGAAAATGATGGAAATTGGCAAACCGTCTTCGTTTCAGGTGGAGTGGGTCAAACTTTGCCAATACAAGTCCGAAGTTTTCCAGTGCCAACTTTTATTTGCATTTTTACAGTTCGCTGTCCCCCTCCTTTCCCCCCCAGGCACATCTTTAAAAGCAGACGCACATTTAAAACACCTATCCGAGGGACAAGTGCAAGAAATAAAACATTCAAAGTGGCTTCTCGTTCTCCTGGTTTCACGCTCAGCAGAGTTGCCCCAGCCGCATGTCTAGCAGGGAAAAGGGCACTGAGGAGATATACATCTCTAACTCTATATATAGACTTGTATGCACACTTAGACAAGTATAAATACGTCCATTTTAGAATCTTAAATAATTATAAATAAGACGGTTCTGGGATGTAAGTAATCGTTGAAAGGATTAAGCTTCGGTCTCTTGTTAATCGAGATCAGCGTTTCTCCAAAGGACATTGACTGCCCCAACGTCTGTGCTGAACTTGCAGATTAAAGTGGCTAAAGCAACCAAACCCCGAGAAGATTTTTATCGCATATTGGGCGGCATACAACGTTTTTGCACCAGTTCTGCAATTCCCGGTCCATCTGAGGGCATATTTCGTTGTGTCGCTGGGAGAGCTGCACCCATGTTCTGGGACTGGTTAACTGGGGGAGGTGTTACCAGGGCGTTCGGTAACACCAGGACATCTCCTTCGGTCAATAGGCAATTAACCTGAGACGAACATTTACAGACCGAGGACACTTCGGAGCCTGGTTCTTGTCCGTTTCAGCTGCATTTCAGTTCAAGTGTCTTCGATGGGCGTTTATTTTTCGGGGTTCGTTTTCAACGCCCAGCCCCGGTATCCACAGCGCACGTATTTCACCATCGCTCTCAGCACTTCCGAAATCAAGGACAGACGCCCAACAATGCAGAGGAAGAGCGATGTCTCCTGCACGCCTGGGGCTGCTCAGGGCTCGGGGCTCGGGCCCGCCGGAGCGGGAAGGGTAGAGCATCTCTTTGCCGCGGTGCCAAGGGGCAGGAATGGCTCGGCTCAGGGGGAAGGCGGGGAGAGGCGACAAACCTGCCGGGAGACGCCTCTCCGGACTGGCATTTTCTCGGAAACGAGAGAAGCAGAGGGAAGAGCGGAGAGGAAAGCTCTTCCTGCGGGGGTGGCGAGAGGTGTGGGGAGCCGCGAGCCGCCGGCAGCCGCCCTCCGCTCGCTCCCTACAGCGGCTGCTCCGCGCTGGTCCTTTCCCGAAACCCAGTCTCGCCAGGAAGCTGCGAGTGTGCATGTGTTTATTTCTCACTCAGCAAGGCTATGACTACATATATGTTCCCTTTTTTCTTGACGTTGCTCCTGAAATCGAAGCCTAATTTTTAACATCGGGGGTACGACAAGAGCCAAACCCCCGCCGAGGTTGGAGGGAAGGAGGAACCCTTCGGTGGAACCGGGACAGCAATAAAGCAATTAGCCGAGAGTGGGGCTGGAGACTCGTTCAGCCTCTCCCAGGGCGAGCTAAGGGTGCCACGACAGAAGCAGGGAGCTCTCAGCCCACCGAGAGCTGGTAGGGGGGAGTTAAAAATGCCCCACGGAGCGAGAAATGAGCCCTTGTCGGGCGAGGCGTACGGAGAGGGCTCAGCCAGAGAGCACGGATTCATTGCAGCCCCGGCTAGATCAGTGTCTTTCCATTGTCATCCTCCCCCTAGGAAAAAAAAAAAAAAAAAAAAAAAAGGGAGAGGGAGAGAAAAAAGTAGGCGGATTGCAGTGACTGACTGCCCAATGGCAACCCCGGGCCTCAGGAGAGTTACAGAGAGAGAGGGAGAGAGAGAGAGAGAGGCACTTTCTGCCATCCAAATCCCTTAAACCATCCTCATTCCGACACGAGAACCCACTGTAACAACTTCCAACCACTGAGACATGACAGGCAGGAGCCCAGAGGCAGCAGCAGCAGCGAGAGCAGCAACAGCAGCAGCCCACACTCTGCACAGGGAGCAGCATTAGCACCAGGGGAATACTACACACAACAATACAAACAAACAAACAAACAAACAGACAAAGCCCCCCCAGGCCCAAGGGACTGGATTCCAACTCAGATTCAAGCCACAGCTGACACCAAAAAGGGTGGGGAATTACGACCAGGGGGGGCCAGAAAGGAATAACCAAGGAAGCGAACTCAAGAGTGTAAACGGGATTCAGCCATGATCCTTTTTTCATCTCGCAGTGTGTTACTCTCAGTGTATTACCCTCAGATTTTCCTCATCCTTACCAGTGGGAGTTACCTGTAAGTGATCCAGATTTTTTTTTTTTTTTCCAAATACTGTTTGCAATGGCCCCGCTAGCAGCTACCTAGGGGCAATGCGCAGAGCGAGCAGAGGGAGCCGGGAGAAGCCAGCACGGGCGGCAGCTCCGTGCGGTGCGTGGTGGTGAGGTGCGTGGTGGCGGTGGCGGCGGAGGAGGAGGAGATGCCGCGCCGGTGGCGGTGCTGGCGCTGCTGGTCGGACCCCGCCGGGGGAAGGGACGCACCGCCAGGTAACTCCCGGGGCTGCCCCGCCGGCGAGGCCGGGGCCCGGCGTGCCCGCAGCGGGGGCGGCGCACCTGGGAGGGCGGCGGGGCAACGGGACGCGGAGCGGCCGGCGTTTCCCCTGGGGACTCCGACCCCGACTCCTCCTCCTGCCAGACCGGAGATGGGCATCGCTTCGCGCCCGCCGGGGGAAGGCTGTTCGTGCGCGGAGGTCCCGGGGAGCGCGGGGCTGCCGCGGCCGGCGGCGAGCGCCCGGCCCGGGCCGCCCGCGGAGCGTGCCCTGCTCGCCGGCCGGCTGCTTTCGCTCCGGAGGGATCTCCAGCGCCGCAGTTAGAGCTGGCTCCAGGACTTTTTCCTTGTGAGGAAGGGGGTGGAGGTAGGGGTGGGGGAAATGAGAGTCGGTGGGTGGGACTGCGAGGAATTTCGGTCTCTTTTTTTAATATCTATATCTGTATCTGTCGTTGCGGGGGATAAGAAGCGGCTGGGCTAGTCCGTGAGGGCTGCGCAGAGAGTGTCCGCCGCCGTTCTGCTGCAGGTCCCCGGCAGGTCTCTGTGCCTCCGGGGCACGGTGGCGGGGGTGATGGGCCGGGGTCCCATCCGGGAGGGCAGCCGGAGCCCGGAGGGGCTGCCGGGGACCCGCCAAGGGCTTCTGTTCTCCTGCGCTCCGGAGCAGAGCCGTGCGGAGAGGAGGGCGCTGCGGCGGCAGGTACCCGGCGGAGGGAGCCGCTGTGAAATCGGGGAGCCTCTCCCTGCCTTGGGCATCCCCCTAACCCCGGGACAAGAGTGCCGGGACGCGGGGGTCGGGCCCGGGCGGTTCGGAGCCTGCCCGGGCTGCCGGGGCTGCGGCACAGGGGTGCACCCCGCTCGGGGATGGGGAGCCCCGGCCCGGCATCCCCGGCCCCGCGTTTATCTCGGCTGCCGCGGCCGGACGGATTTCCCTACTCTCCTACCCCCAAGCCGACCTCAGTTTTTTGTGCCCCGAGGATGCGATTTTGAGGTTCTATCCCCAAACTGTACATGAATTTATATGTATTTGGGATTTTTTTCCTCTGTATGTGCGCACAGGAGCACATGCACATGAACAAGCACGTGTGCGTGTGTTCCTCCGTGTGTGTGTCCGTCTGTTTTCTGTGGGCTGTGGAAAAAAACATATCCCACTGCTGTGGGAGAAAAGTAGGAATAAACACGCCCATAAAAAGAAACTAAAAGCCTATTTCTACATTCTTAATTCTTAATGAAATGCACATGTCTTGGCCACCGATTTTTAAAAGCGCTTAGATTTATGGAAGCACGTTAGATTGATTCAACCAGAGCTGCCTGGTTCTGTTGACAGGAGGGAAATGTCTGCTGCGTAGGTGACCGATAGCTTGTAAAAAAGCTTGCCGTGCTATCTTTGGTTGGTTGGGGTTTTTTTTTTTTGTGGTTATTATGTTTTTTTATACAGGAGGAAGGAGTCGTAATAAATAAATAAATACACCCTTTTAATATAAGCGTAGCCATATTTTTCTCAAAACCGTAGGAAATTACTATCCTACAAAGTTTTCCTTCTATAAATAGTTCAAATCTTAAAACAAAAGTTTGCAACCGCACACCAGATGCTGGGATGCTGGCGGTTTCCCTTGCTGTGTGACATAATTATAAGGTCCGAAAGCAAAAGCTATAGAAGTATAATAATAATACTAAGGCGACTGCTGAGGGGAAATACAAGGGAAGCAATGCCTGCTTTATTTAAAGCCAACTGCTTGTGGATCTTTTGAGCGCTGCCCCGCGACAATGAGAAGTTGTGGTGGATAAATAATGCTCTCTCGCCTTTCCCTGGGCCGTCCCCGGTTCATCCCCTCCGCGGCAGGTCACGGGGAGCTGGACCCGCGGGGCTGGAGCCGAGGTGGCTATTGCAGCCCAGCAGAGCAGAAGCGAAAGGGATCAGGAGGTGAAACCCAACAAAGCGGAGCCCCAAAGCGACGCCCACCTCCCTCCATCCATCACTCCGGAGGGACGGAGCCGGCTGCTTTCCCGGGAGGAAAACAGCGTGCGCCTCTGGGATCAGGGTGCCCGGGACCAGACCCCCCCTCTTCTTCTCCTCCGTGACACCCCCAGCACCAGCCACACTTGCTCCCTTTCCAGAGTGTCCCCCCATCCCTCCCAGAGAGCGGGGCAGCGGCGGGAGAGCCGCGGTGCTGCCTCACTCCCCGTACGAAGTGAAAAGAAAGAGGAGTTATTTCAGGGTTTAATGGAGAGTAGCCTACTTGTGGTGTTTGTCTGGTGGGGAAATATACTTCTCTGGCTTACTAATGGTAGCTTTTGAAGATTAAAGCATAGTAGAGTCTTGTTGGAGCATTATCTGCTGGTGTCTCTTCTACCCTCGCTCTCTGGAGGAGAGGATGCTTCCCAAGCTGCTGTTTGGTGAGCTCTCGGGGACTGTCAATGGTTATGTTAATTTTCCCCGAGATCTCCATCATCTTTTAGCTGTGGGAACGACTCCTTGGCTTCTGCATTGCTGCTCCTTCAGGGACAGAGGGGGTGAGTTTCAGCGGGCAAGCAAATGGAGTGCGGGGTGTCCGTGCTCCGTCTCTCTTGGTGCAGGGAATGCAGGCCGGGGGAGATGAGATAATGCCTGGTTATTCTGTGAGAAAACCTGTCAAGCAAAAATCCCATCAGATTTTTCTGAATGGAAAAGGCAATGGTGAAATGAAATGGAATGGGCACCACACCTCAGTGGTTTTTGTGCAATAGCTGGAAAGAAGGTTAAGTTATGGTCAGCTACATCCCGACTCGTTTATAAAACCCGACTCCTTTATAAAATTGATTTCTATATTTTAAGTGTGCTATCTGATTAAGTCATCTTCTTCAGTGTGCTTGCCTGGTAACCTCTGGCCTGCTGAGGCACTGTGAACTTTTTTACAACCAGAAGAAATTAGTGTCTGCCTCTCTGAAAAAGAAAATTGATTGTGGCTCCAATAGCTGATGCATTTCAATGCTGGACATATTTTGGTAATCAAATGAAATATTTAAAGTATAAAGCTGCCATTAGATAATATCAGTGTAATTAGCATAAATGTCTAAACAACAGGATTATGCAGAACACTGGCACTGTTTCTTGCAGTGCATGTGAGAGTGTGCAAGTGTCTGTACACATTCACATATTCAGCTGCTTCTAAAGAAGATGGGGATCGTTGCTTTTCCATTGGTGCACTCCTTTCACTGTTCATCTTATTTAGTGCAGGATGCATTCACCAGCAGCATGAGAGACATTCTGAAAAAGCTTATTTGGGGATTATCTGATGGCACATAGATACGGTTAATTCAGTTATTTGCTATGAAGTGATTTGGAACAACTCTTTAGAGAGTGTGTGTGCATGTAGTAATAGCAGCACTAATGTTCAAAGAAGATACATTTTCCAACAGCATAGCACAGCAAATAATTTATATTGGTGAGTAGATATCACTGCTTGGTTAGGAAATGTAGAGGAAGTAAAATCCTCTGCATGTTTTGTGTTTGTTCTGCTGGTGCTTCCACATCCTTACAATTCCGTATCCTTAACAACAGGGCTTCTCAACACTTGTGGGAAGCAGATTAGAAGGGATGCAGATTGTTCATCTGCCTATAGGAAAGTGGTCATGCCTAATCCCTAAAGATTAGGACTGCTGGAGGGAGTCCCTGGAGTTTGATTCTTAATCCATCAGTGCTGGAGGGAGCTGCACAGGCAGAGAACAACTCAGCTGCTCTATGAGGCAGAGCTTTCAAGGGCACAGTGGGCACAGCTTCATAGCAATGCCAGCCAGCCTGGCTGATGCTCCCCCTTTAGCTGGTGCAGTCAGAGTTACACAGGCTGGCCCACTCTTCCCATCCTGGTTACATCAGGGCAGGATCAACCTCTGTGATTAAGATGGCTGTTATGGGGATGGGATTGCCTCAATCACTGAGCTGCAGTGTAAATCCATCATTTCTCTGCTTTTGCACCTTGTCCATTTTATAACCAAGACTTTAGGGGAAGGTTGCTCTCTCTGCCTCTAGTTATGCAGTGTGCAATGCCCAAGGAGAGCTCTGCTGTTATTTTCTCCTTTTTATGTGATACTGTAATAATGATTGTCTATAAGAGGATTTGTAATAGGGCTTCCTTCCACTTCACCATCCCTCAAAGATGTGTTTGCATAGAGACAGAACAGGTCAATCTTCAAAAGGTATCAAGTATTTTCAGGCTCATCTAAAGCTAATGCTTTTGCTCAGCAGAAAAGAGAAAGATAAAGGATATTTTTATGCTGGGCTGCCATAAGCTTGGCTTATGTGCCTGACACAGGAAATTTCCATGTATTGAAGCAGCTACACAAAGATGGGAGAATGACTGTGATATGATTTCTTGGTACCTCTAGGAGGCAAAGTCCAGCATTTCACTGTGAGACCCAGAATAAAATTCCCTCTCTAAAATCAGAGAACTCTGGTAAATCTGGGATTGTCCACTCCTCTCCTGTCAAGGTCTAGATCTAGCACTGAAATCCTGAATATCCTTGAATCCAAATGCATTTGGATGAAGGGAACTCTCTCAATCCTTTGCAACAATCAGGTACCAGGAATTGGATGTTGAGTACACCTTGAAATTGCAAAAAAAAAAATTACTCCAGAAATTATAAGGAAAAGTGGCAGCATCCAGAATGTGTAGGATAACAGCATGGAATTACTACATATGTTGTATTACTAACACAGAATAAAAAGTGGATAAAAAGCAATATGAAATATTCAGATGAATAGGTAAGGATGAATTCAGATGTGTTTGCATATTAAACACCCAACAAGGCTAATCCCTCAGAAGAGAGTCTTTCAAAGAAGGTGTTAAAGAGCTAAACAAAATGAGCAGCAATTATACAGTTAGACTGACAAAACCCTTTTTTTGCAATGGGAAAAGCACCTTGTATACCTGGCAATGTAGCATGCTGAGGGTAGAATGGTGGCATCCACTTTGTCAGTGCATGGGATTGTGTAACTGGGGCTGAAATGCAATGAGAAAGCCTCCTGACCCCAAAACACAGTTTAACCCTCTAGTCCTCCAAGGTTACCCCAAGCAACAAAAACCTAGGACCAGCTGTAGATCAAAGGAGTTCTACAGGTATGCTGACACTATGAGTTACAGAATTGGTTAATGTTGCAAGCCCAGTTTCTTCAGCCCACAACTTTTGCATGTTTCTATATCCTCAGTGGACTCTTACCAGTTCCT